TAATAACAGAATTGTAGAATTATTTGATTTCGATACCTCGCACACCGTTACGTTACATTAAATTTGATATATTGATTAATATGGATCTTCCAAATTTTATGAAACGGTGACTGAAGCTCACCTCTCGAGTGCAAAGGGTTAACACTAGAACTACCAACCAATTGAAAATGACTGGTCCCAGAATTTTCCTTTTTGCGATCACCGAGCACATACACCTGCTTTAAGAATAAAATTGGTATCAACTCGTATTAAGAAAGAACTGTAATCAATATATTCATTCATATTCATTGTATCGCTGAAATTACTATAATCTGTGCACGTTATAATTAAGGTACCCATTAAAGATCGGTAGTTCTAGTGTTAATATATTGTTCCACGAGTGACTTGGACAAAACCGACACATTTGTAAGTAGAACCCATAAAAATCCTGTAACCTGTAGCAAGCGAGCAGCGAACGATTTTGAACTTCAAATCATATTCTCAGGTAAAGAATGGTGTAAAATTCGAACCGTCTCAAACTTAACCCTTTGTACTCGACGATTTTTTGGCAAGAGAAGAGTAGAAATTCAAAAATTCTCTACTAAAATACTCACGCTACCTTTTTGAACAGTAAATATAGAATTGTATAATAATAGAATTGTAGAATTATTTGATTTCGATACCTCGCACACTGTTACATTAAATTTGATATGTTAATTAATATCGATCTTCCAAATTTTATGAAACGGTGACTGAAGCTCACCTCTCCAGTGCAAAGGGTTGAATAAGAAATGTTTAATTTTTTGTGGTCTGTTTGGGCATACAGTAAAAATTTGCGTTAGATATGGTTGAAGAAACGAGAAGATTGTTAAAATTGTTGCGTAGATCGTTTAATCGTTGATATGACCTTCAAATCCATTCACTGTCAACCCTCGAAGTCATTTTCTCCCAATAGGAATCTTTCCTGATCTACGGGTAAGAACAGAAACACGTATTCGATCATTTTTTCTGGAGAAACTATAAGAGATATCGACCCAGTCTTTTTCTCATGCATTGACACACATTTCGAAAGTGTTCCGAATTTTTTCTAGAAAATGATAATAACAGACAAGGAAATTATCGAAACAAACGTGAAAGGTGATTTAAGAACTGATTTCTACTTATTCCAACTAGGCAAATTAGGAAAAATTCCGTTCAATAAGTATCACATTTATGGTCGTTGCAAGAAAAACTAAAAAATCTTCGAATTTAATATACACATCTCGAGATAGGGTCGGACAGATCTTCCCATCTATGGAGGCCGAGGGAACCACCCGGTGCATTTCTAATTTGCATTTACGACGGTCAATCTATTACGCGACTATCGTAAATACCAAACGAAGCCTGTTTTGTTCGTATCCATGCAACGAAGGTTACAGATAAATTAATCGTCGGCCATTAGCTGCTAATCCATATCGCAATAACCGATTATCGATACCCCCACGCTTGGCCGCGGCCAATTACATTTTATTAAACGGCTCCTCGTAAACATCGCCAGCTGCAGCAATAAATCTAAGAATAACGCTCGATCGACAAACCTCTATTCTATCTCGCGTTGCATTTCCCGCCAGATTTATCATTCCGTCTGCCAGGCACCTGCATTCTCCGTCATTCGACTCCGCCATTTGTTCCGGAACGCGGGAGTTCTGTTCGACACAACCCCTACTCGTACACCTCTAAATTGACAACTCTCATAGATCCCACTGACCATGCGACCATGACCATCTTGGTAGAGCAAAATACTTAACCCTGCCAAGAGTTTACGCACTCTAGATTTTGGAGCATTCTCGCAAGAAAGGCAAACCAGTGGCAAGACAGTAACAAACTAGTGTCAAGCTAGTGTCAAACTAGTGTCAAGCTAGTGTCAAGCTAGTGTCAAGCTAGTTGTTAAGCCTTGGAATGTCGTCCCGGTAATTCGTTCGGCCCTTTGTTTAGAATAGACCGTGTGAAGGCTCTGAAAGTTCTCAAGTACCATTGATGAGGCCCTAGGACCGCAATGTCCCAAGTAGAAGGTTGTTTATATCCTTACAGTCAGCGCCCTTTGATTTCTTTAGCACCTAAGCCACCACTTAGGTAATCCGCAACAAACAACTATATATCACCCTTCAAAAAGATAAGCACAATTACCTAGATTTAAACAACCACCACCACCGAAGGACGCTGAAGTTAACATACACCCCCAACATCATAACAACCAATCAGCAGAGAGACCAGGATTATATAACCACCGAGAGGGTCAGTACCAGTCAGTCAGTCAATAACATTCGAAGAGTTCAGAAGATTTATCCGAAACAACTACATAAAATACAGTCCACTATAAACACAACGTTCCTCAAGAAATTTGGTTCGTCATTAACCGTCGCCAATTGAGGACGGCCTATTGGCGATATACACTAGTGTCAAGCTAGTGTCAAGCCAACCCTAACACAGTATCACAGCATCGAGGACTATGTATGATTCTTCAACGTCAAAGCGTTGTCTATCCTACACAACTACTCGTCTGATTTACGAAAAGCTATCGTATCTGTTATATTCAAAACTGAACCGTGCAAATTCCAAGTGATAGTCACTAGGTCAAGTTTCAATGGGTAAGAACGACGTAAAAATAGGCCCCACATATTATTTTCAAAAAATTCATGACCATCGGAGCTGTCTTATGGTACAGCGAAATGTTTCGTCAGTAAATATAATTTTATCAGGAAGAAACTTCGAGAAACGATCCTGCCGATCAGCTTTCGCCGATTTGTAAAGCGGACACTCTGGTAATCGCATCTATCAAGCGAGGGACACGGCGTCGGATTTATCATCCGTGGCTGGTGTCGCGTTCTCGTTAGCCGGCAATGGGACACGCGGAGCGTTGCGAAATGGCGTGGAAAAAAAGAGAATCGGTGTAGAGAGCACGCCCCGAGGGATCGAGAAAGTGATAAAGGACCGCTGCCAATGCGCGACGCGCAAAAATCCTCGTAAATTGTTTCTTCGAAAAGCAACGCGGAATTACGCCGCGCCGATCCTCCTGCTAGCGATTTCTCCGCGCCTGCTTTTTCCCGTTTCTTTTTCTGAGCCCTGGACCGCGTGCTGCGTGCCTCGGGCCCTGGCGCGCGGAGACACGTCACTGTGTGTGCGTCGCGGCCGGCGTGAATGAATAAGCGACAGAGGGAGAAGGAAAAGCGTGTTTATGCGATTTTCACGCGCAGGACGAGTTTTTCTGAGATGGTGGTAGGTGAGAAGGTGAGCAGAGGGTTGGTACGAGGGTGAGAAGGTATTCCGAGTCTTCCCGGGGAACGGGATTTCCGAAGATAAGCGTGCACTTACGTATTTCCGAATTTTCGTTAAGCTTATGTGCAGATTATGCAACGGACAAGATAGGAGAAGAATAAAAATGAAGATCGAATATTTTCCAGCAACGAATGAAGACAGACGATGATTCGTTTTTGGTAAATGACGTGTAGATTTGTAATTTATCTGTGGTTTAAGATCACGTAGAAATGATAAAATAGCAATTGGTAATTACGAATATTCTGAATTACTGAGTATTATGGTTAATCCGAACTCCACTATTTAATTTATACTGTCAAATAGAAATATTAACCCTTTGAACTCGAAGATTTCTTCGTTGTGAAGATGCAATTCGAAGCTCTTCTTAGATTTTTATCAGCTCACTGATACTCTTTATGCTAAAATTAAAAAAAGAAAATCGTGAATTTGCGTGAGAAACGAACGAATAGAATAATTTTATTTCCATGTTCTTGATATAATTATCACCATCCATTATCAAACGGTGACTGAGAGTCACCCCTCGAGTGCAAAGGGTTAAAATATAAATTATAATTACTGGATTTAATTTCTTAATCTCAATAGTATCGGATAAAATAAATAGATTAAATAATTAGATTCGGATTAATTGTTTATATATCGTGAAAAATTAGGATAAATACTATACACGGGATTAGATAAAAAAACGAGATGTAATATATTCTTTTAATTATTTTCTATAATAAAAAAAAATTGCGGGGTTTAATTTCATAATTGTCAGAAGCTAATGGGCTGACAAGAAAACTATACAGTAGTATAGTTTAGATATAATTCTATTTGCAGATACTTCGGATACTATAGTGACTGGTTTTTATTGGCATTCTGTTGCAATTTTACGAGTCACATGTTGCTATTGACAAACTGACGCACGAAGGTACTTTATGAAGCCTTACATCTCTAACTTTTTCAGCGAATTCCTACTAATATATTATCCCGGTGAGGAGCCTAGGTGGAGAGGTTATCACCTAACCACGCATCGAAGTCATTGAATGGAAGTCGACGTTTCGACAGTCAATATTAACCACTTGCGCTATAAAGACGTGTCACGCACGTCGAGATGCTTTTGTTCCAAAGCCGCCAGCGACGTGTATACCACGTCGATAGGCATTTGTCGCAGAAACAAAAACGACGTGTCAGTCACGTCGGCTAACAGTTAGCTCGCAGACGCGGTGCGGTGTCAATGTAACGCCATACCGCATGTTACATTGTAGAGCGCGGCAACCGAAAGTTAAATCGTAGCGCAAGTGGTTAATAAAAAAAAGTTTGCCTTGGAAGGCAAAATTTGTCTGAGAAAAATGAATTTAAACGGTATATCGAAAGTACCTAGCAAAAAATTTTGTTAAAATTCGACGCTAATTTCCCCATATAAGTCATCACTCGTTCGATTGTCGACGAGTTATTATCGGTGACTCAACGATCTGTCGTCATAATAAAATATCGAGTACGTGACAGAACGATAGCACACTCGGTGTATCTCGTCAGAAAGAAAGAAAAAAGAAATCATCGGATTATAAATCAAATTGAATTTTCCTGGGAAAGGTTATTACTACTCGAAGTAGTCGACAAGGATATTGCAGAAAATGACCATCTTCGAAACGAAAACTACAGGGTGTGCTATTATTTTGTCGCATACCGAGGATCTACCGTATGTGTTCAAAATTCTCACTCACCGCGTTGTCCTGACGAGCAACATCGGCACTGTGCTTCAGCAACAGCTCCACTATCTCCAAATGGCCCTCGGAAGCAGCCCTCTGCAAGGGTGTGACTCCGGTCTGAAACAAAATATCGAAATTTCAGGGTTTTCGTATAACATACGTACTAGCAACTGTGTGCTGGCTGAACGAAATTGAGAAAGAAAACAAAAGTGGACCGAGTAGTTGCGTCGCGGTCCGTTTCCTTGAGTCTATGACTGTGATTCGGACACTGGTAACCATAAACAAATGGCACACCTGGTCTTGGTCCACTATCGTTGAACTCTAATTACAAAGAACAAAACGACAAACGTTCTAAAAATATTTTTTAACGCGTCGAGGTACTTTTTCTTGAGTCACGCGGTGTGACACTGACACTGGCAACCATAAACAAATGGCATATACCCTATCTTGGCCCACTGTGGCTGAACTCTAATTACAAAGGACGAAAGGACAAACGTTCTAAAAATATTTTTCGACACGTCGTAGTCTTTTTCCTAGAGTCACTCGTTACGATTGTAATCCCAACAACCATGAGCAAATGGAATACTCTATCTTGGCCCACTATAGCTGAGCTATAATTACAAAGGACAAAGCAACAGATGTCCTAAAAATATTTTTCGATGTACCGAGATCCTTGTCCTCGAGCTACTCGCTACGACTCTGACACTGTCAACCATAAATAAATAGAACCCCTAGACTTGGTCCACTATGGTTGAACTCTAACTACAAAGGACGAAACGACAAACGTCCTAAGGATATTTCTCGACACGTCGCGGTTCTTTTCCTAAAGTCACTCACTACGACTCTAATTCCAACAACCATAACCAAATGGCACACCCTATCTTGGTCCACTAGGGCTGAACTCTAATTACAATAAACGAAACGACAAACATCCTAAGGATATTTCTCGACACGTCGCGGTTCTTTTCCTAAAGTCACTCACTGCGACTCTGACTCCAACAGCCGTAAGCAAATGACACACCCTACCTTGGTCCACTATGGCTGAACTCTAATTACAAAGGACGAAAGGACAAACGTTCTAAAAATATTTTTCGACACGTCGTAGTCTTTTTCCTAGAGTCACTCGTTACGATTGTAATCCCAACAACCATGAGCAAATGGAATACTCTATCTTGGCCCACTATAGCTGAGCTATAATTACAAAGGACAAAGCAACAGATGTCCTAAAAATATTTTTCGATGTACCGAGATCCTTGTCCTCGAGCTACTCGCTACGACTCTGACACTGTCAACCATAAATAAATAGAACCCCTAGACTTGGTCCACTATGGTTGAACTCTAATTACAAAGGACGAAACGACAAACGTCCTAAGGATATTTCTCGACACGTCGCGGTTCTTTTCCTAAAGTCACTCACTACGACTCTAATTCCAACAACCATAACCAAATGGCACACCCTATCTTGGTCCACTAGGGCTGAACTCTAATTACAATAAACGAAACGACAAACGTCCTAAGGATATTTCTCGACACGTCGCGGTTCTTTTCCTAAAGTCACTCACTACGACTCTAATTCCAACAACCATAACCAAATGGCACACCCTATCTTGGTCCACTAGGGCTGAACTCTAATTACAATAAACGAAACGACAAACATCCTAAGGATATTTCTCGACACGTCGCGGTTCTTTTCCTAAAGTCACTCACTGCGACTCTGACTCCAACAGCCGTAAGCAAATGACACACCCTACCTTGGTCCACTATGGCTGAACTCTAATTACAAAGGATGAAAGGATAAACGTCCTAAGGATATTTTTCGACACACCGGAATCCTTTTCCTCGAGTCACTCGCTACGACTCTGACACTGTCAACCATAAACAAATGGCACACTTGGTCTTGGTCCGCTATCATTGAAGTCTACACAAAAGACGAAACAACAGAAGCCCTAAAAATATTTTTCGACGGAACAGGACATGTCTTCTCGTTCGAGAGTTGATACACGTCGATCTTCCGTGTCTGCAGGAATTCTAAGGAGACCCCGATTACGTTCTAAGCCATGAAAGATTTATCGCCACGCTTTCTTCCAGTTACAAAAGTTGCAAACATTAATATATTATCTTTACATTTGAAATCCCGTATCTCTGGTGGAACGTGCCTAAACTCGAGATCCGTTCTATTCCAGTTTTCGCTGGGATCGTGCTTCACCTGTAGATTCCATGATATACTTTTACCGGGAATTATGATGGATGGCATTCCGCGTTTTTCCCGGGCTCTGCTAGAAAGTGCATTTAAAATCGCGTGTATCCCAGGTACCAGAAACTCTTCTTGCGTTCGCGTATATACACATATTTATCCCGATGTTTATTCCATTTATTCCGCTGTTTCCATGATATAAAAAGATCCTCGATCCCGCGTGTAATTTAGAAAGTACGTACATGTATTTTCTAAATCTACTTTTATTTATTTATGTACACCGTGAGCTGATCAATTTTATTCGCGCTATAAATAACGATGCAAGCTTGTTCAAGCCGTTGCGATTCTTCTGTTACGGGAAAATAGCAGTGATTTCCTGATACAAAGCCGACGATATTTTTTAAAATGGTAAACAAGAGATCGCGAATAAATTAAAGCGTAAGATAGAATAATTTTATTTCGAATATTATTTACAAAATTTCGAATATTGTTAGAATATTTTTAATTTGATTATCGAATTATTTTTAATTTGATATATTAATTAATACGGATCTTCAGAATTTTATTAAATGGCGACTGAGGATCGTTTCATGAGTGCAAAGGGTGAACAGAAATGATGATCGCTGGTAGAGATCGCGAATAAATTAACGCGTATAGTAGAATAATTTTATTTCGGTGTCTCGCTCATTAGAATATTTCAAATTTGATATATTAATTAATACGGATCTTCAGAATTTTATTCAATAGCAATCTATATTATACGCCTATATTTGTTAAATCTCTGGTTTATTTATGAGAAGTACGTTTAGTAAGAACAAGGAACAATTGCACCTCCTGAGTAATGGAAAATTATTAAAATATTAAAATAAAATATTAAAATATTAAAATTAAAAATCTATACAGCTTCATTTCCCAAATCTCGTTTCATTAATCCATATACCGATTATTTATATACACTGTATATTATTTGATTTTATTATTATTATATGGACATGCAGTGAGGAGCGTACATACCTGAGGAGGGAAGGAAATGATCAATGCACACGTTTATACTGTGGTAGTGGTTATCATAGAATGTTTTGTATAAGTGTGAGGAACGTTTGTGTGGAAGAATGTATGTGTGTGACGAGTGTGACAGAGAGTCGTGAAAAACAATTAGTGGGTGAATGACAGTCATCAGAAATAGACGTTGTGTGTGAGATAGTCCTGAATAGATTATATCGCAGTGAGAAGCGAATTTATTTTGTGATTTAATTATAATTTATATTGCGCTGTTATACTGTTCAATAAATATTGTTATCAGTTTATCCATTTACTCGCATACACACAGTACTGCTGTATTTTATCGAAGCTATATTTACAGTGAAAGGATCACTCAGTAAGAGCAAGGATCAATTGCAGCCCATGTGTAACGGAAAACTAAATTTATACAGTTTCATCTCTCAAATCTCGTTTATTCCTATGTATTACTGGACTTTATTATCCGTTATATATTCACGCGATGAAGAGCTTATTTACCCAAGAGAAGGAAATGATCATTTTACGTTCTATTCGAAAATGAAATTACGCAGAAAATAATTTTCGATATTGTAATATCGCAGAATTTCCACCTCGTGTATAGGTGACTTTAGTTTGAAAAGTCGCCAAGGGTTCGAGGGTCAGGTCGGTCGGAAAACTTCCGGCGATGCATCAGGCCCTTAGCATGACCATATTTGGTCATGTTGGGGGAGGCTTTTGGGGAATATATAAGGAAGGCAAAAGTGGTTAGCGAATACTTCTTGAGAGACAGTTATGTTGGGTCAGTGATGTTGGAACAGTTATGTTGTAACCGTGTTGTTAGTTGTAGTTGTAATAGTTTAAATACATATCTACTCTGCGTTGCAGGAAAGAAGTCATCTGAGAAACTTGTAGGACCGAGTCCCTACCAGCCCAACCATTCTAACATCATGGCAGAAGTAGAGTAAAACGCTTCCCTTATTGGTAGAACTGATCCCTGCCTATTAGCCCGGTCATAGAACACCGTGTGACAAAGAAAGCGAACGAAGCAACGAGACAAAGTGAGACAGACGCAAAAATAGATGCAAGAGCGTAGACTCATCCCAAAGCGTAGTAGTGCTTCCAATTCATTGCAAGTTAACTCTGAGATAACATTTCTTTCGCGGATATCTTACGCCTATGTTAACGTATCGCGTTACCAAACTTGAAGATAGTAGTTTTGGGAGTGTCATAGAAGAGTGGGTATTACTAACAAGAGCATAGTGGAATACGTAGATAGTAGTTTTGGGAGTGTCATAGAAGAGTGGGTATTACTAACGAGAGCATAGACGGAGCAAGTGGAATACCCCTCTTGCAACCGAACGAGATGACTTCTTTCCTGCAACGCAGAGAGTATATTCGTAGTCTTTACCGTCACCGCACATTGTATTATTATTTTATTTCTAATAAATAGAGTACTATATTATTTAACCACCACCCATGCCTCTACAATATTATTTAATTCGTTACCGCCAAAAACACTGAGAAGCTCGTATAAGAAGAACGAGCTTCCCTTTGAATCAGACTGAAAACCCGTAACGGGCTCTAATTTCTGTCACCGTCGAGTCAGGAATCCCATCTCGAGAACACCCAGAGTGTCGAAGAGACTTTCGTCTATCGGCATAGATCGTACGCGTATTCAGACTCCGTTGCACGAAGCAACGGATACGAAAAGGGCGCAATAAAATGCCTGTCGCGAAGGTTTCAATCTCATTAGAAGCTAATAGAAACGGACGCTTCTTGTCCGTGTGTTTCTCGCAGGGATCGGAAAAATCCAACGACCAGACGACGGTTTTATCGGTGTCGTTAGCTCGAGGGATCCGGACGATCGTGTTCGGCCAGCAAAGGGTTCACTAAAGATAGAGGGAGATCCTTAAGTAGTCCACGG